TCTCTCCCTCTCTCCCTCCCTCCCTCCCTCCACCACCCATCCCAAAAAACACCCATGCCTCCTGAGCACACACACACACACACACACACACACACACACACACATACACACACACAGCACGTGACCATTCAGAACCAAATGACCAGCACTGGTAATACTGTTCCCAACGGTACCATCGCACTTTTACCACGCACTACGTCCCATGACTGTAAACGTGAACGGCCCCAGCGACACGATTTAGATCATTTACGAGGTGGGCTCATCCAAACCCAGCCCCTCGGGACCAACTGGGGCTGAACCCCGTATTGCTGGGCGGCGAGGTTCCCGATTGTTGAAGGCTAGGAATCGTCGCAGGAATCGACTCCGAACCGTATTACTTACTTTCTAATGATATGACTTCTTTCAGTGGTTACCTAATTGGCTCCGAACATCTTCAGGGTATAGGATAACCTTGATTTCGGAACACTACAAAGCATCAACTTGTTTTGTTTTTGTTTAGTTTTGTTTGTTTGTTTGTTTTTGTTTAGTTTTGTTTGTTTGTTTGTTTTTGTTTAGTTTTGTTTGTTTGTTTGTTTTTGTTTTTTTTAATAAATTCGAAAAAAGAAGAGGATTTAAAAGATTAAAATTACTGGTAACCGTTGGTTTTCGTAAAATGAAGTCGGGACTTTTCTTCAGTAGTAATAATCTTGGGAATCGGTTCCAGAATTGATTCTTCGCGAACGGGTCACAAACAACATCCCAGCAGAAAGATGGGGATGCTTAATAAAAATATCTTGTTCCTCTCGTGAGGACGAACTTCTATACCGGCGTCCGTGGTGTAGCGGTCAGACACTTCGCCGTCGCACTCATATGACCTGAGTTCGAGTCCCGTCTGGAAAGAACTTTTATCGCGTACCCTGATAGGCAGGGTCAGGCTCGCCTCCTAAATATTGATTTTCGTTTTTATTCGTTTAAAATCCCTCCCATATTTCTTTTGGTAAGCGTTATACAGCACTTGCGACACAATAAGGACATAATATAAGAGCCGAAGGTGAGAGGGCGTTACGAGAGAATAACAAACACAAAAATGAAAGACGAGAGATACGGAAAACAGATCATGTTTGAAAGAAAAGAAAGAAGAAACCACACCAGCGCTCATAATATGACCTCAGGCAGTTGCAAGCGCCGCAAAGCACTTAAAATCACCATAATAAACCAGAAAACCAGACCAGAGCATTCGTCGAACACCCACTAAATTAATGAATTGTGTTGATGGCGGCGCAAAAACGCCTATACCGAAACCAAAAGAAACAAAATATTGAAACAAACAAAAAACAAAACAAAGAAAAACTCTACTGCAAAGACGCTGGTGGATCATTCCGTGCAACAAAAATGTACATCATAGTTTTAGTTTTAGAAGCGATTTTACGGCGCTCGCAACTGCATAAGGTCATATATGAGCGCCAGAAGATTAGAGGTGTTACATGAGAGTAACAAACATAAAAAAGAAGGAGGGGGAGATAAGGACGATAGATGTTTGATAGGAAAGAAGGAGCAAACCACACCAGAGCACCCGCCAACCACCCACAAATGTACATCTACTTGTCAGAACATCGTTATGATATGCAAAACACGACACAAGCGGCGGTGCTAAAATCTGGTAAGAATACAATTACAGCCTTCTGGGTGAGGGTCATTCTTAGAGTTACCATCCATCCATCTCAGAGTCAACCATGACTTTTCGTTTAGTTGTTAAAAGATTTCCACGGCCTCAATATAACAAGTGCACAAGAAATTTTGTTTTAGTAATAGTTTTACGGCACTTGCAACACAATATGGTAATATAAGTGCCGAAGATTAGAGGTGTTACAAGAGAGTAACGAACACAAAATAGAAGGAAGGGAGATAAGGACGATAGATGTTTGATAGGAGAGAAGGAGCAAACCACACCAGAGCACCCGCCAACCGCCCACAGTGCACAAGAAAAACCAAGGTAGGAAATCGAACCGGAGAAAAACGCACATCGTTGTCGTGCGTGATACCAACAGAACAAACTTTACAAACTCCACCCCCATTAACACACACACACACACACTCACACACACACACACACACACACACACACACACACACACACACACACACACACACACACACAG